TTTGAATGAAACCTTGTTGTCATGCACATAAATTACTATATGGAAAATATATATTTTAATATGCTATTGCTACTGTTTTAAAATAATTTTTTTGTGCGTTTAACTCTTTTTCTGTGAGGCTGTCTACACAGAAATATTATTTTTAATCTGGGCGAAATGAATTTTTCTGTGAGTTCACTAGACCGACAGAAAAAAAACATGTGTTTTTCAGTGCGTTTATTTCTTTTTTCTGTGTGGATTAACACACAGAAAAATTAGTTTTAATCTGGGTGAACATAATTTTTCTGTGCGTGTGAGACCCACAGAAAAATTATTTCTGACGGTGAACCCACAGAAAAAGTCGATTTTTCTATCACTCTATTTCTGTGGGTTATTTTCTTACGGTATTCGAATTTTTCCGTTGGTTTTCGCACACACAGAAAAAAGACAGATTCCAGTAGTGTACACTAGCCGGGTGTCCCCAACATTTTCTAAAGTGTACCCCGCGCAGTGTGTGTGGATGACAGGTGGGCCACCCTGCCTACGTCAGCAGTGATGGCGGCGTCGGCGTTATGGCCTCCGGCCCACATGTCAGCGAGGAAGGGAGAGGGAGAGGGAGACGGACAGAGACGAGGGGTAACGGCAACACCGTTACCACCTGGCTCCACATGGCAAAGACAGAGAAGGGGAAGGAGGGGGAACGGCGGTGGATGGATGCGACCGCCGCGCCGTCGGAATAGGGGAGGGGAGGCTTGGCTCGTTGGAGTGGCTTATGCTGGCGGCGTCAGCCCTCGGCGGTGGTGGATGAGTGGCGGACGAAGCTCACGGGGTCATGCTGCAGCCGGTGGCGGAATCTCCGACGGTAGCGGGTGCCCACGGCAGTGGTGGTGGCTAGCCGGAGAGGGAGAAGAGAGAGGGCGACGCTGATGGCGCCGGTGAACTCCCAAATTAGGGAAAATGGAAGAAAGTGAAGAGGAGGAGGGGGAAGGGGAAGAGGAGGGGGAGATGAGGTGTTCCCGTCCTCGGCGGAGCAGATGGTGGAGAGCGCGAGGCGAGAGTGTCGCCGGCCGGGCCTATTTATAGGCTGGCTAGGCCGGTGTCCTGGCGGCGAGATATTTCTCGTGGTCGTGCTTATCCACCATGCGGGCGCGTTGTTGACCTCGTCAGGTCACATCGCCATGGCTGGAGCTTGCCCATGCACACCGTGAGGTGCCTTGGCGGCTACCTCGGTCGCTCGGCACGGAGACGACCATGGGGCTGGCGTTGACGAGTTCACAGTGAGGGGAAAGAGAGGAGAGGAGGAGAAAGGAGGGGCGCCATGTGTCCTGTCGTGTCGCCGTTGACATTCGCTGGCACCAGGGTGGCGCTGGCGGGCGTTGAGGCGCGGGCTGCGCCACGTACGGCTACCGACAACGAGGTTGGCAACGGAGCTGACAGGCGGGGCCTAGGCGTCAGTAGGAGGAAGAGGGGAGAAGGGAAGGACGCGGGCGAGCTGGGCCGGGTGCTGGGCCACGGCCGCTGCGGCGTTGCTGGGCCGGCTCGCGCTGGAGAAGGGAAGGAAGAGGGGAAGGGGTTGGGCTGCTACGGTGGGCCAAGAGGGAGAGAGGGGAGAGATTGAGCCCAAGTGGCTTTATCCATTTTCATTTCCTTTTCCTTTTTCCCAGCTCAAATATGCATATGTTTAAATGATTTTAAATTCAAACTTGAATGCATGAGTGTGCAAAAATGTACCACCATTAGTTCAACAAGTCAAGCAATCATTCACACACAAAGTTTCACACATGAATTCTTATGTTCCTATGTTAATTTATTTGTAAAAATTATCTAGGTTGGTTATATATGCTATCTCTTAGGCAATATTTAAAAAGTTCAAATTTTCAGTGATTTTCAAACTAGGTCAATTTTTTAGGGTGTTACAGTATGCCCACACGACATTGTTGTCTCCGTCGTCATCAGCACCGGACCATCCGCAAAACGGGCGATGGTACGCGACCAATTGCCGCCGAATCGAGCTATGAGGCGGCGGTGAAGGTAAGCGATAACACGTCGAATTGTACACTGATCCGGTGATGATGAACAATAATACCACCGCCAGCCCAACGGCCGGCGTTGATCACCCAGGATATCACCAACGATGGCCAAAACAGTCGGTGAAGGAGGGTTTAGAACCGGCTGTGATGAACTTTTTGTAGTAATGTCATTAGAGACTCTTAGACATGTTGTTGGCTATAAGAGTCTCTGATGAAGGGTCATTAGAGACATGTTTGTTTAAACGTGTCGCTGATGTATTGACATCATTGACTGTTTTTACACATAGTCCAAAACTCACTCAAACATTTCCTATTTCCTGAGGTCGTCTAAAACTTCTGCCTAGTTCCTCGGTTGATGTTTTTATGTAACCAGAGACTTATTTTCCCTAACATCTGTACTCACTACTTAACATATATGTCTTCAAAAATCATAAGTTGTTGCCCTCTACCGTATCTGTTCATCATCGCCGCCGGTTTGTATCACCCACCGGCGCTAAAAATCGCCCCATTCTCACTGCGATTCGTGTCATCAAACGGCGGTAAAAAATCATTTTCGCCAACGGTTGGTATTACGAAACGGTGGTGATAACCATGGTGCAAGATTGGCGGCCAAATGTCAAGATTGGCGGCGCCCAAGCCTCAGTCATATCGTCACTGATATGTTTTGCTGCAAGCAAGCAACAACGGTACCTAGTACACATATGTGTCTACAGAGCCCACACAAGTCCATGCACGTACGTACGTAGCTAGCTAGGCTAGCTAAGTAGAAAATGCGTAGGTCTCTCATCTCCTTGTATATATTAGATTATATTATATAGAAAAAAAGTCCAAATTACGTCCTCTAAATTTGGCCCCAATTGTCAAGATCAGCGGCTGCCAAGCGTCCTACATATTTGTGTGTATTGTATATATGTCCACCATGTCCATGCAAAGTAGGTAGGCTAGCTAGCTACGTAGAAAATGGGTTAGGGCTCGGCTCCTTAGATAAGCACATTGTATGTACGTACGATATTATCTGCCGGAGAGGCATATGACCAGGACCGGCCGGAGGACACTACAATAAAACTGCTTTCTGAAGATAGATGATGTTCTTAGGCGCTCTAAAAATACAGCCATGTATTTCACCAACTATATCTAAAAAATGAATTTTAGAGGCGATTTTTTAAGCCACCTATAGAGAAGGTCGTTTTTTATGGAGCCACTTGTAGAAAAAAAAAAGGTGCTTCCGATGGAAACATTTTTCAGTAGCAGAAGTTGGAGCACCGAGGGACAAAGTATGCCCTCTGGTACATGAGATGACTGTGTGAGACAAAGTCGCATATTGCCTGGCACAATATATATTATGCTCCCTTGCTCGGGGCCTCAATCGTAAGACAAAATTAATAGAAGAAAAACCTGACATGAAAAATGGCACTTGAAGATTTAGCTGGTCGACAATGAAATATAACTGGCCAGATGCCAGGCAAAATGTAACACAACTACCTACAAAATAGTACTTCCTCCGTTGCAAATTTTCTAGATGCGTAACTTTTGTTATACACCTAGATATATGCTATGCCTAGATACATAGTAAAATATATGTATTAAAAAAACAAAAGACGTCTTACCGTTTGGAATTGAGGAAGTAATATCTTTTAGTGTGGGGGAAGAACCAGGTGATCATTGGAGGGCTAGGCCAAGTGGCGAATCATGTACATGTTATTATTTAGGTTAACCTTTATCTACAACTTTCCGGTTAGAACATTTTTCACTTGAATTCATTTAGGGTCCAAAATATTAATTTTGAAATCTAGAAAAGTGAACACGAGGTGACTATATGTCTTTACCACAAGTGACTTTGGGTGGAGTGGTTAGAAAAGCTATATATGTGCAAGGCCACGGGTCTTAGATACGGATCCTGCTGGCGCATCGCGCGTGTACTTTGGCATAAAAATCTACATGACTTATGGGGCTTTCCGGGTTTAAAACATTTTTTGATGTTTTTTGTCCAATTTTCAGGTTTCTGGAAAACCCCTGTCACCGCCGGCGGTGATAACCATTATTTTTATCATCAACAATTTTCACCGTCAAGGAGTCAAAACCAGTGATACATAATAGAGGTTTAAGCTAATAAATGTAGCAGTGCCCACCCCCTCCCTTGCCGGTATAGTACCATATACTCCCTGGCTCGACCACATATATATCGCCTCGCTCATAAAACAAAACAGAAGGAAAAATCAGAGAAAGGAGAAATGACGACGCTTGGCTTAGGTGTCCGCCAAGAATAAGAAATGGCCAGCAGCCGGGGCAGCAACAGGCAAATTAAACACTGCTGGAAACTCGAATATTTCTGTGGGTGACGAATTTTTCTGTGCGTTTTTTTCGGTACGCACAGAAAAATTACGATTATTCTGTGGGTTCCAAAATATCCCGACAGAAAAATACGAAAACCCACAGAATAATTATAACATTTTTTTGTGCGTGACAATAGACACACGGAAAAATAAAAACTCACAGAAAAATATAATTTATTCTGACAATTTTTTAAAAACGCACAGAAAAAATATATCCACGCACAGAAAAATGTTATTAATAAAATAAATAAATAAAATAAAAAAGTGCTAACCCTAACCCGAGAGCCGCCGCCCCCAAACACCCATGGCCGCCCCCTCTTCCCTCTCCTCCCCATTTGGCGCCCGCCCCTCTCCTCCAGCCCCCAGCGCCCCCTCCCCCGCTGGGCGCCCCTCTCCTCTGGCCATGGCGCCCTCCCCCAGCCGGGCGCCCCCTCAGGAGCCGCCTCCCAGCGCCCCTCCCCGTCGGCGCCCCTCCTTCCCAGTGGCCCCCTCCTTCCCAGTGCCCCTCCTCACTGGATCCAGCGCCCCTCGCCGGATCCGAGCGGCGCCCCTCCTTTCCGGCGCCCCTCCTTCGACGCCCCCCCCTCGCCGGATCCGACGCCCTCTCCCGGATCCGGCGCTCCCTCCTTTCCCGGCGGCGTGGCGGCGCGGACGCGCCATGGACGGCCCCTACATTCTCAGTCGGTTGCTGGGAATATCTTCCCGTATCTCGATGATATGTATTTTTGTATATGTTGCAGTGCAATATATTTGCCATTTCTGGTGTATTGATTTTACTTGTTTGCTCGTAGGATGCTTTTGCTATCCAAAGCAATGAGCGTGGAATTGCTGCTCGTGACAGCGGTGCTTTTGCATGGGAGATTGTTCCGGTGATTTTCTTTCACTTTGCTAGGACTTGAAATTACAGTATATGCTTTGTTTGGTTTCCATATTATGTTCAATGTTTTGTCAACCAGATTGAAGTTCCCGTTGGGAGAGGAAAACCACCTGTACTTATTGAGAAAGATGAAAGCCTGGATAAGGTAAATTTTCTCATGCAGCAAAGACATAAGACTGGCGTGCCCTTTGATTCATTATTCTTCCTACGGTGCAACAGGCCTCCTTACATGGGGACATGTGCAGATGATTGTTTCACTTATGCCGTGCAATTTCTTGTGTCTCTTAGTTTGACCCAGCAAAACTGAAGAAACTTCACCCAAGTTTCAAGGAGAATGGTGGTACCATTACAGCTGGAAATGCTTCTAGTATAAGGTAACTTCTCGACATTTACGTTATTGTTACTTAGTCCTTTTAAGTTTATCTTCAGTTGTATTATAATTCTTGTGATTAGCTATGATGATAGTTAACTTCTTTCTTTACATTATGCTTGCATTTTGTTATTTTTGTTGCTGTCCTGTGCATACCATATTTGACTTGTGTTTGTTCTTATGAATTGGCACTCCTATTATGTTTTAGGGGCTTGGTATGCTCTAATTTGTTAAATAGATTGTAACTTTTCTTCTTGTAAATGATTTATTATCACATAAGAAAGTAAAGAAGTGTTTGTAATGTCTTATGTCCATTCAAAGGAAAATCAGTCTATGTGTATAATTTCTTCTTGGTTGTCTTCAAAATTCTTTGATCTCACTTTGCACTTGCTATTTTTTCCATTGACCGGTACTGTCCATTGTGTACTGCCTACTATCCGCTTGTGTAGCTACAATCGATCATATCTAATTTGCTTTTATATGGATCAGTGATGGGGCTGCTGCATTAGTTTTGGTGAGTGGGCAGAAGGCTCAAGAGCTTGGCCTGCAAGTCCTTGCAAGGATCAGAGGATATGCAGATGCAGCTCAAGTAAGCTACAGTAACAGTTATCTCACTTGAGAGTAGAGTATGTTTTGTCTTGATATTTACATTGTGATCTAAATGTTCAAGGATATTGGGAGTTTATTTTCTCGGACAGTTTTATGTTACTATTTTATACATAAAAGTTTCTCAACTATTAAAATTGTATTCTAGAATTTTATTTTGTAACCATGAATGTTGTTTATACAGGCTCCGGAACTCTTTACAACCACCCCAGCACTTGCGATACCAAAGGCTATAGCAAATGCTGGATTAGAGTCATCCCATGTTGATTTTTATGAGATTAATGAAGCATTTTCGGTATGTGCTGACTACTGAGAGTTTCTTTCACTGAATAATTGTTTTTTGTAGTTTGCTATGCAGCTGCAGGATTTAATAGCATGATAATAACATTTCTTGTGTGTGAATTTAAAAGGCTAAAATGTCATTTTCAGAAAATGCACCTTGATTCTTTTGTAGTAGTAGTTTGCTATAGGCAACAGCAGCATTTAATAGCATGATAATAAAGTTCTGTACTAACAACGCATGTGGTTGCAGGAAAAGATTAACGTTCATGGAGGAGCTGTATCTTTAGGGCATCCTCTTGGGTGCAGTGGTGCTCGCATTTTGGTCACCCTTCTTGGTGTAAGTTTTATCTTAATCCCTTTGTTTAAAGATGCACAATGTTTTTATAGTAGAAAAGTTGAAGGTAATCTGTAATTAAATAATGAATTGCGTCAAATACTTGAGGCCTTGAGCATATCATAGCGTTTGTCAGGAAGGGTAAAAAATCTTTACTAGTATATTGCTAGTGTTCTGTTAGTGAATTTTCAGTGTGTAAATAGGAACTTAGGTAACCCTGCAAATCCAAGCTTGACATTGATACTTGACTCACAGATTATGAAAACTATATCCATAAGTTCATATTTGAAAAGAATCCGTAAGTTCATATTTGAAAAGAATCCATAAGTTCATATGCAGTCTAGTGTTCATGCTGCTGTACTTAGGTTTGCAGTTTGACATCTGGAAGTTAGCTGCCAAATTACTACCACTGCAGAGAGGTTATTTGTACAGCAGCATTCTTTATAGGATTAAAATGCATTCTATTCTTTGAGTTATTGACAGTTCATCACCTGTATGCTAAGGAAAATTGTCCTTTTTTATATATTTGGGATGAACTGTTGAATTGATCAATAAATCTACTAGATTATGACTCGTGTTTCTTTTATTATGTTTTGGCAGGAGGTATCAAATAAGATAGTGAATCATAACGTAATATGCTTTATAATTATCTTAACCTTCCATTTTTGTACTTTAATTTTCAAACATTTCTTTTATTTTCACTTACTAAACAGAAAAGATGCATTAGCTATAGTATTGTGCAAATAGTTAATCCATTTGAAGTAATGCATAGCACATTCTTTTGTTTAGGTATATAATTATTCTCATCCCGCCAATTTCCAAACTGTATTGGTTTTTCTTTTAATCCTAAATTATAAGGCTTGTGCCTAATTTAGATGCTTGTTACCCTCTTTTCCATGTCATTCGGCTTACCATCCTCTAAATCTGCTTGATCTCAGTATTATCTCTGTCTTGATTGAAGGTTCTCAAGATGAGCAGTTGGGCACGACGGAAGCCGTCGTCCGCTCTCGACGGAGTCCTAGACCGAGGTAAATCACATCACGCGAGCCCTGAATGAACTCGAGAATACATTGTGCGTGCTTCTTGTGACTGGGCTGCTGCTTGGCAATGCAGAGCTCGGTGGCCTTCTCCTGTCCCGAGTCGAGGGCTCAGCTCAGCAGCAAGGCGGCAAAGTGAGGCAACTGTCGTCGTCTATTTTTGACATAAGTGTTGACTCCATTCATGATGAACTACTTATTTGTGTATTATTTGAATGAAACCTTGTTGGTCCTATATATATTTTAATATGCTGTTGCTACTGTTTTAAAATAATTTTTTTTGTGTGTTCAACTCTTTTTTCCTGTGAGGCTGGCTACATAGAAATTTTTTTTTAATCTGGGCGAAATGAATTTTTCTATGAGTTCACCTAGACCGATAGAAAAAAAAAACATGTTTTTCTGTGTGTTTATGCGTTTATTTCTGTGTGGATTAACACACAGAAAAAATAGTTTTAATCTGGGCGAAGACAATTTTTCTGTGCGTGTGAGACCCACAAAAAAATTGTTTCTGACGGTGAACCCACAGAAAAATTTGATTTTTCTGTCATTATATTTCTGTGTGTATTTTTCTGATGGTATACCGTCAGAAAAATATTTTTCTCACGGTATTTGTATTTTTCTGTGTGTTTTCGCACACACAGAAAAAAGCGAGATTCCAGTAGTGAAATGTAATTCGCCTCCCAATAACGTACGAAATATATACAGTAGAGTAGCATCTCTAGCTCTGTACACACAACAGCATTAATGTTTAATAAACAAGGAAGTCTTGACAGGGGCCCCAAATTGTCAAGATCCGTGGCGCGGCCAATGCATGGTCATCACATATCATCACTGATGTACTGCTAAATGCAATCGATGCAATAACGGTACCTAGCTAGTACACCTACGACGTGGGTGTATACAGTCCATGCAAAATACGTATATACCTAGTACACATATATTCTTATTCTTATATAGGTATACGTACATGCGCGGCCAGTAATGCATGGAGCTGAGCGCCTATAAATACAGCACCCCCATATGGCTGATAGCTTCAAGCAGACGCACAGCTAGGAGCAGTCGATCGAGCAGGCATATACATATAGCAATTAGCTAGCAACAATGGCCTCCAGCATCAAACCGTGGTCCGCTGCTGCCCTGTGGTCGCTCCTCGCCACCGCCATTCTCCTGTTCATGGCGGCTTCCACGCTAGCCCAGACGTCCACGTGCCCCGGCATGCTTGTTCTGCTAAAAGGGATTAGCCCAAACATCCTGGAAACTGATTTCTTTGTGCAGATCAGTCGAGTACTCGATGTTCTGCGACGGGAGGGCGGTATGACCCGAGTCGCACAGTGTGTCTGCCAAGTCACTGGATCCAACGGTGCCAGCGCCACGGAAGTGATCCAAACCATGGTCGATCCGGGGTACAGCACCAATTGCAGCAGCAACCTCGCCTAGGCACTGATACGTTCGTATCGCATGCAGCCACGCATACAGCTAGCAGTGCATGCGGCGTATGCAATTAATATTATTATCCTTATTACATATATAGACTGTGAGTTGTGTCGCGTAATATATAAGGCTGTGTTTAGTTGTAGGAATTTGGATTTTGGGGCTACTGTAGCACGTTCGTTTTTATTTGGCAAATAGTGTTCAAACATGGACTAATTAGGCTCAAAACGTTCGTCTCGCGATTTCCCACCAAACTGTGCAATTAGTTTTTCTTTTCGTCTACATTTAATGCTCCATGCACGGGCCGCAAACATTCGATGTGACGGGTACTGTAGCAAATTTTTGGAAGTTAGGGTGGAACTAAACAAGGGCTAAGGAAATAATGCTGTTGTATGTATATGATCGTCGTCGTCGTCGTCTTCAGCAACGACGCATGCAGCAGGGCATGACGTCTACCTAGTAGTACCTGCTACACCGGAGAGTCTGTCGTCTTATCATCGTTACTACTGCATACAGGCCATATGAACAAATAATAAAGTACTTACCTATATATATGCATGTATGTTGTACGTGGCATATGGCCTGGTGCTCCACAAAGCACAATATATAATATATAGACAATATAATAACTATATTAATTGTTGGACCGATAATAATGTCAGATTTTATCCTTATCAATAAATAGCATCGGCAATTAATGAGTTTCCTCTGGGCAGTATGATGATCTTTAGTTTCAGCGTATGGATATAACTATAGTTTTCATCCTTCCCTCCGATCCCCTGCCAGATGCCAACTGTTTGCAGTATAATGTTTAATTTGCAAAATAAATCAACTGGCAATAAACTTACTTAGGATGTGTTTGGTTTTAAATGAGGTGACCCATCATCTTCATCACTCCTGCACTTTTCTTTTTTGTTTGTTTTGTGAAATGTAATGGGTTCATCTATCACCACCACCTTATTCCTCACGAGATAATAATTAGGACCTGTTTTTTTAGAAAACAACTTCGCAAGCAGCTTTTTTTTGTGACGCTGAGCTGTTTTGGAAAAAAATGTTTAACAAAATAGCTTCACCGACAGCTCATAAGGGAGAGAGTTAGGATAAGCTACTATTTTCAGCTTCATCTCAACTCATGTCTTCGTGAGAGGAGGAGAAAAACAGCTTCACCAATGAATCTGTTTTGGAAATGAGTGTTTGACAAAAAAAAATATCTCACAACATCTCATGAAGCTGTTGTGAGCTGTGTCAAGCAGACCCTTAGTATATATGTATGAAGAGTGTGTTGGGGAGCCCATATAGAATATGGACCAACTCCCCCTTGAAGAGGCCCAATAGGAGTTGGTGTAGTAGCTTGTGAAATTAGCAAAGGCCACAGAGACACCAAGCCCAAGCGAAGGCCGACGCTCTACAAAGAAGAAGCGAAGGCCGCGGAGATACGAAGCCCAAGCGAAGGCCGACGCTCTGCAAAGAAGAAGCAAAGGCCGCGGAGACACGAAGCCCAAGTGAAGGCCAACGCTCTACAAAGAAGAAGCGAAGGACGCGGAGACACGAAGCCCAAGCGAAGGCCGACGCTCTGCGAAGACGGAGCGAAGGCCGCGGAGACACCAAGCCCAAGCGAAGGCCGACGCTCTGTGAAGACTGAGCGAAGGCCATGGAGATGCAAAGTCCGATCGAAGGGAGTAGCACTAGCGGCGGCACAACGGTGCCACCAAACGATAAGGCCTCTTCTTGGGCCGAAGTACCAGCCCGACAAGGGCCCATCAACGAAAGGGGTTGTAGGAGTAAAAGATTTACGTACCCCTGAGAGGATCTGAGGAAGAGTGGAATATTCCGGCATATGTCGTGACTGTCGCAGGGGCATTCCTATACTTGCGAAAGATTGTAACGTACCCTATAAAATGGGGAGCTCAGCCCCCAAGAGGAGAGAGGAACTATGTGATTGAAACCCTAAACTGTTGCCTCGGTAATCGTGTGACCACCGTGTCGATGTCTGTGTCACCGCTAGTCGAAGGCCTCCGCTCCTAAGCAAAGCCTTCGACCCTCGGGTGTCAAGCTGCAGCGAGCTCTCCCCACTTACTCTGTCTCTGTCGGGATCCCTATTTCCCAACAGAGTAGGTTGATTCCACCAAAATTCGTGGGACGAACTCATGGTACACCACCTCATGTAGCATGAGAGGTGATTCCGTCAAACTAGACACACCCTTATAAAATGATTGGATCAGATAACTGATGGAACGCAGCCAAGTTGCAACTATACTATTACACTGACAATTAAAGCAATTAATAAATGGTAAGCAATAAATAAATAAATGGTAAGCATCATCAGGGACTCTAAGAAAACCAGTAGCTAAGTTCCACTTTGCTTTTCATCTGAAATATATATTCTCGGTTAATTTATTATTGTGAACTTGATTTGACATAAAGCACTCAAGGCAATACTTCCAAAAAAAAATTAGGTGACTGCAGATCAGATATACATATACCCAACATAAATGCATGAAATCTCGAACTAAAATTCTTTGGAGCTGAATCACAATTTGACTACACTAATTCGTTGCTCAAGTAAACAGTGCCCATGTGAATAATGGGAACCGGGCATAGCGTCGACCTGCTAATGTCCACACGCACAATGAGATGACATACACTGCTACTACAGTACACGGAATCATTGCTACTCCCTCCGTTCCAAATTATAAGGCATTTTAGTTTCTGATACCTTATATTGCTTTTACCCAGAACTTTCGCCTAGTTTCCCAATAGATGTTTTCATGTAATTAGGCCCTGTTTCCGTAACCTTCGTACTTGGTCCTTAATGTTTTGGTATGTGAGTGTTAAAAAGGTTGTTGTGCTCTGTCATATCTGTTCGGCGAGCAAAGCAGACAACCATTCACTAGCAGAATGGTAGAGTTCTCCTAGTGTCTTTAAGTAGTAACTAGGTAGCGTGCCCGTGCGTTGCTACGGGATAACTAACAATTTATACTAAAAACACACGGATCCCACGAAAAGATAACAATACTGTTAAATTAAATACCAACGTTAAAGTGATATTTAATCCAAAAGGCAAAGTTTATGAATTTAACACAGTCACGGAGTGCGCGGCGTCGCAGGCTCACAAACTCTAGAGCTTCCAGAGATTGGGTCGAATCCAACCTAGAGCCTCGGAACCCTGCATCTTTTCCTGGACGGGCTTCACTTCGGATGCGCCGGTAGCAATATCAACGATCTCCAGTCGATGGACCAAGTCGTATGGATCCCCATACAATGGCTCAGACATGTAGATTTTGTTCTCCTTGTACTTAGATACACTTGTTCCACTGAAGCTTTCATTAAAATGTTGAGACACGAACAGTGTCTGATCACCGATGTCCCTCACCCTGGACCACTCCGGCGTACGGTCGTGGAGGTTGCACTTGTAGATCGCGCTGCTGTAGGTGAAGCTCTGTGTCTCGTGGAACGTTCTCACCATGGCACCCACAATGTGCAGCTCACCGTTTGATTCTAGGTAGCTGCGATGGCTGAGCCCCGTAGGTGGCGACAGCGATGGCAGCAGCGTCGCGGTTGGAGTAGCGCCGGCGGCGTTGCTGCTGCAAACGGAGATTTCTCCAGTACAGTCGATCGCCAAGAACTTGTCTTGTCAGTGGACGATGGACCCCACGGAGAACTCTAGTTTGGTGTCGAGTAGCGTCCATGCGCCGTCGACTCCAACCCAGCAGAACAAGACCTCCGTGGAGCACCCAAGCATGGCCATGGCCACGCACTCGCGGCCGGTGGCGTCAGGCGGCGCCGAG